TTAGCAGAACCAGATTCAGGACAAGTGGCCTTCTGCTTCGACCAACTGGGTTTGGTGGGAACAGATACACAACTGCAGGTCAAGAATCACATGTTAAGATAGAAATAGTATCAAATGAAAACTATTCAATTTTAACAATTCGTTTAAGGAAATGAGGTCAGTTTGTCCTCTAATCTAAGCTTAACTGATTGCAGCTGATGAATGTCTTGACAACCGTTGAACAACCTCTCCATGCTCTTCATAAATTATAATAGCCATTTTGATGCTCCACCTAACAATCAGACTTTAGTTTGGTGCAGATTCTTTAATTCAGCCAGTTTTGATGTCTAACTGATTCTTCTTCTTATGGCTGCTGTGGGTCATGTGCTTCAAGTGATGATGAGAAATGAGGGTCAAACACCTGAGAATTTGTTTCATGACAGCTTATGTATTGTTTATAAGTCAGGTGATGCGTTTTTAACTTTGACTCCAATTAACCCCCTTTTTAAAGTCACTGATATATTGTTGTCTCTCATTCGGTGCGAGCATCCATTTGTTGCTTCATTCAGTTTAAATGTGCACATAGAAGGGTATGAACTCCTTAAAAGTGTTGTTCTGCAGATATTTGTGTTGGGGACCTTCTGTTAAACTGTTAAAACAAGAACCTTACACGTTGACACAATGGCTTTCCTTTTTCTTAAACTTTGCACTTGACAAGTGAGGGGCAAATGTGTGCGTGTGAGTGCACACACGTGTGCACGTGATCTCCCTCGCTCTATCCCACCCATCGGTAACAATCAGCTGCCGCAGAAACCCACTGCTTTTCTGTTCTCAAATAAAAACAATGTGAAGGAAGAAAAGGACGAAATCATCCAGCTCTTTTACGAGATCCTCCCCTGAACAGAAAAAAAGTATCCATGGGAATCTTAGCACGTCAGGCAGGCCTTTCTCCCTTCTTCTCATCCGCTCTCCCCCGCTGCACCCACGGACCAAAGCAATTGTTTATTTTCTCCCATTGAGGCTGCTCCATTCACTGGCTCTCACATTTACCCTGCTCAATTGGAGTGAGACAGCACTTATTCGAGGAGAGGAATGTAGCGTTCCACTGACAGAGCAGCAAGAATGCAGCAGAAATAATTAAACTTTCTCTCTTTTTTTCCTTCAAGGAGAAGGTACAGCTGAGGGCGAACAACATCAAACCAAACAATGAGGACTGACAGGATTTTCTGCTGTGATGAGTATATCTACACATCACCTTGACACTACAAAGTAAAGGAGGGCTGGAGAAATGCACAATGCTAGAAAGTGAACTGAGGATCTCATATGGCGATGGGGGGTCAGTCATTCTTCCTGCTTTCTTAATAAAAACTCCCTCCAGAACAATGGGTTCTTGTAAAACGTGCTCTGTTCTTCCACGTTACTACCCAGTAAAAATAATGTGAAAAGTTAAACGAGCGAGCTGAAACACAAAAGTTATCTCTGCAGTTTTGACAGCTGCCTTGTTTTTTTGATGAACATTTACACTGCAGCTGGTTTATTAAGGGTTGTAGCTTTTTATCTAACATTAGCTGACATGTTGAGCTGAACCTGAGAGGGCAGAGACAACAGTCCACAACACCACCAGTGCAGAATAAAAGAAAAAGTGAGAATAGAATCCAGAAGTGTCAACTAGAGCCTACAAAACACTGTATTTTAATAAAACTGTAATGTGTAACTGAGCATTAAAACCTGATCTTTTTAAATACAAGTGGGCAAATATTGATGCTTTGAGATGTTTTCTGCTGAAGATCCTGTTCTTTTCAGTCTGTTTTATCCCAGAGCACAAAAAGCATTGCAAAAGATAAAGACTAAAGCAATTTTTTTAATCTGATAATAAATAAACTTGAAGCCATGAAGATCTGAGAATAAATCACCTTTGATTACCTTCAACAAGTGAAAAAAAAACCCTAAAACTGTGCTTTTAAAAATAAGACATTTCACAGGAAAGAAAATGCAAAAGGTGCAATTTGAAGGCCAAGGTTTCTTTATTTGTCATTTGCATCGCATGTGGTACATGTGGTGGAACGAAACTGTGTTCACAGGGTCCCACTTACATCCAGCAAAAGTATAAATTGTAAAAGAAAAACGGTAACAAGATCTAAGATATGTACTAAGAAATACACTAAGCTAAGAATACGCTAAACACTTAATAGTACAAAAACAACACGCCAAACAGCAACAGTACAAACATGAGTCTGTGTGAGCAGACGAGTACGAATGAACACAGCAGCATGAAATAAATCAGCAGCATGAGATTAGCAGCATGGATAATCAGCAGCACATATCAAAAAGCAAAGTGGCAATTACAGTGATTTTTTTTTTTTTTTTACAGTGATAATCCTGATTAGGGAGTCATGAGTCTAACAGTTTCAGGGTATAATCTGTTGCTCAGCCTAGTGGTTCTGCACTTAATGCTCCTCAACTCCTCAATATGAGCTTAAATTAGAAGCAAATATTCAAAATCCTTCAAAATATCAGATTTTTACACAGTGGCGAAATCAATATTGTTTTCATTAAACCAATATATAATATACTAAACCAATATATTCACAATATTGATTTCCATTTTTGGGCAGCTCTTAAGTCTCTGTTTAAAAACCACATTTAGAAACTGTAAATTTCTACATTATTTTCTATTAAATTATTTCTATTATATTATTATATTTTCTATTATATTACTTAACATTTTTATATTACTTAGCATTTTTATGTTCTTCCCTGTTTGGTACTAAATTACAAAAAAGCTACCTTTATAAATGACTAATTATTAGTGAATAACACAGTTATTAATCAGGCTGTAAGCACTTAATTTATCGAACCATTAATAAGCAGTGCATCAGATAAAAATACTTGTATTTTTGTCCAATTTGCAGACTTTTTTCTAGAAAAAGTATAAAACTAATGAATACCCTGTTTAAAAAGTAATGATAAATCATTTACAAAGAACCGTTACTGTGAAGCGTTACCCTTTTTTTTTTTTCCAGAAATAAATGATAGTTTTATTTCTTGAAACAAGTGAACCACAGCATATGCCTGACAACAACTTTAAACAGGTAATTAACCCTTTAAAGTGAACGTTTGATTTGTTTTTAAAAGATCAACTTCTTCATTGGCACCTCATGAAATCTTCACACATGACACAAATGTTGTGTTTTCTTCATCATTTAGATGGTTTTGACTCTGAAGACTTGTGGTGTCACAGCTCCAGAGTTCTACACAATGCAACACTGTCATTTAAAAAAAGGAATAAATGTACAAAGCGGTAAAACACCTCTGTAAATTTTAACTCTTACTTTTTTCAACAGCACCTAGAAGCTTTCTGCAAAATGATCATGTTCATCTTCAGTTAGTAACAAAACTACCATTTTAATAGATTTTTATTTCAGTTTTGAAAGGTCATATTATTAGACAAGCTAATGCAGGTGCGGATGAAAAGTCAACTATAATTTGTTTTATTAGCGCAAACATTACTATCTTGAAGAGGTAATTTTTGTCTCTCTTTGATGTGTTTTATCCATCCAGATTGAATAACTTAAGAAAAACAAGAAAGAGAGCAATAGGTAAACTGAAAATGCCATTTGTTTAAAAAGCAGAAGAGTTCATCTGAGTTGAAGTAGCTGGTAAAACAAGTAAATCATACCTGCCCCCTACTGTTCACCTGCATGTGAAGCAAGAAAAATTGTGTGGGAGAGATGTCATTGAGAGCAACGATGCTTCTCCTGGGTTCAAAGTTATATGTTGAAAATAATAACACACGTGGAGCTGACATGCGCGCACAGGCCTGAGCCAACCTGAGTAGAACAAGTTTACCAGTTTAAATAAAGCTTAATTTTACCTAAAGTCATGTTCAGAGTCTTAACTGGAGTTAGTAGGAGAGATCATATCGCTCCAGTTTTAGCTTCTCTCCATTGGCTCCCTGTCAAATCCAGAATTGAATTCAAAATCCAACTTCTAACCTACAAAGCTCTCAACAACCTAGATCCATCTTATATTACAGATCTTGTTGTTCTATATTTTCCTAACAGAGCACTTTGCTCTCAGACTGAAGGTTTACTCACGATTCCTAGAGTTTCCAAAAACAGAATGGGAGGCAGAGATTTCAGTTAACAGGCTTCGCTCATGTGGAACCAACTTCCAGTTTCTGTCCGTGAGGCTGACACATTGTCCAGTTTGAAGACTGGGCTTAAGACTTTCCTTTTTGATAAATCCTATAGTTAGGGTTGGCTTGGGTTTCCTGAGCTGTCCCATAGTTATGCTGCTATAAACTGACCACATCTTTTCACTCTGCTACTGTCTTTACTTACTCTGCTCAACCTGTTTTGTATTTGTAATATTTTTCTCTATCCTTAACGTGTTTTTGTCTTTCAGGTAAACCTGGACCTATACCTGGACCTGCCATTCTGTGTTTGTCTGTCTCTCCTTTCTGTCTTTTCAAACCCAGCCGGTCAAAGCAGATGGCCGCTTGTCCTGAGCCTGGTTCTGCTGGAGGTTTCTTCCTTTTAAAAAGGAGTTTTTCCTTTCCACTGTTGCCATTGTGCTTGCTCAGGATGGGAGACTGCAACAAAGTAAAGATTCAACTTGTCTGCTGGATTCCTTAGATAGAAAACTTTACTAATTGGCTTTTATGCATGTGAATGTTCCTGTAAAGTGCCCTGAGACAACTTTGTTGTGATTTGGTGCTAAACAAATAAACTGAATTGAATTGAATTGAAAATTGAATTCATTACGTTTCAAATTGCTATATTTATTTATATTGTATATTCAAATTTTCAGTGTCATGTAAGAAAAAAGCTTTCAGAGGAGTTGATCGCAGACTAAAAAAGACAGCTCTGAGGGTACGAGAGGAAGAGAAGCAAAATAGGATCTTTTTTTTTCTTTGTGGTTTAGACGTGTAATATCAAGTTGAGATGTGAGATGGTTAGACTGACTGCAGCGCTACAGAGCAGCAGCTGCACGACAGAGTCCTTCTGTGATCTCTCAGCATGGAAGACGAGGACATTTACTACTACGATAATGTCACTGACAACGACACATACTCATACGATCAGGACTACCTGGACTCAAGCCTTCATGGTTCCAACATTTTTCTGCCCGTGATGTATTACCTCATATTCTTTACAGGATTTTGGGGCAACCTTTTTGTGATCTCAGTGGTGGGGAGCAAAGGGAAGAGAAGCGGTCGCCTGGTGGACACGTTCGTTGTCAACCTGGCCCTGGCCGACCTCGTCTTCGTCCTCACGCTGCCCCTGTGGGCCGTCACCAGCAGCCAGAACAACTACTGGAACTTTGGGCAGGCCAGTAACCTACTGTGCAAGCTGAGCAGCTACATCATTTCTGTCAACCGCTTCTCCAACATCTTCTTCCTCACCTGCATGAGCATTGACCGCTACCTGACCATCGTGAAAATGATGGATTCCAGGTACCTCAGGAGCAGTCGGTGCATCCGCCTCACCTGTGCTGCTCTTTGGTTCACCTCCCTCGTGCTCGGCATCCCGTCTCTGGTGTACAGAGAAATAAAGCTGCTAGATGGGGGGCAGACCTGTCAGGATGACAACTCAATGTTTTTTCTTGTCAGGAACCTGGTCATGGCGTTAGTCACGTTCATCTTTCCCGTGTTGATCATCGTGCTCTGCTACGGCACCATCATCCTGCACCTAAACAGACACTGCGTGGCTGCTGGAAACCCTCGAGCCGAGGCTCGCCGCAGACACTCGCTGAAGATTGTTTTCTGCATCATCGTGGCCTTTGTTGTCTCCTGGCTGCCATTCAACACCTTCGAATCGATACTGATAATATCGCAACTCGCCAAAATCGAACTCACCGGCGATACTCAATTCAGGCTAAATAACGGGAAGCAGGTATCGTGCTGCCTGGCCTTCTTCAACAGCTGCGTGAATCCTGCCATCTACTTCTTCCTGGACAATCACTTCAGACGACGGGCGCAGGTCCTGTACAAGAACTGCACTGGGAAACCCAAACTGCTGCAGAGCTTTAACTCCTCGACATCCTACACCAACGGAGCCACTTCAGAGAGCTTCGCAACAAATGGTGGGCGATCTCAGCTTCAAATGTCTCTGTAGGAGGACGAGGACGGTTTATTAAGATCTGCAGGCGGTAAAGTCAGCGATTTAACTTCAACTAAAATCCGTTTGACAACTTGGAACAGTTTTTTAACACGTCACAAAAACACTTTTACAAATATCGTACTTGTTCTGCCTTAAACCAGATTTAGCTTTGATCTGTTTAATCTGTTAAATTTTCTTCATATTATCAAACATACTGTTTATTCTGCTTATGTCATGCATTTTATTGATTAGTATCTGTGACCTGATCGTGTGAAAATTTAAGAAGTTTTGACTGGTTGAAAGTTTGTTGAAGGTTTCAAAACTTTCCCCCCTTTTCAGCCTAGCATTATTCTGTTTTTTCTTATATAGATAAATAATTTTAACTTTAGTACAGATAACCAACGTTGTACTTGAAGCTTTTATTTTGTATTATGTTTTTTTTTTTTTGCCTCTGTGCATGAGTGTTGTGCAGAAAAAAAGTTGAGATTTTGATATCAAAATAAAAAGTTAAAATAAACCATTTTTGAATGTTGAAACTGAAAGATATCGGTATTAAGCACAAGAAGCTGCAATATTAACTACTCAAATACAAATAACTAAAAATGACCAAGTTATTTAAATTAGTAATATTATTCATTCAACCTTTATTTAGACAAGTAAATCCCATTGAGCCTCGAGGACTCATTTACAAGAGAGACCTGATTTCAACAAAGAAAGATGACAACAATGGACAACAGCAACAACAATAGACAAATATAAAAAGGCATACAGATTTTTTTTTACAAATATTAATATATTATTATATACTTTGTAGTATATATATACAGCTCATGAGTACCAAGATATTTTTATGTAAAAGTTAGTGTTAAACATATACGAACGTCTCTGTCACGATTTCAGTGAGTTCAGCAGCAAAAAGCAAAACCCAGCTCAGCAGACACACGGTCTCATCTTCGACTTTTTTAGTTTTATCTCTTGAATTTTCGTTCCTCATAACACAAAAGGTCAAGGTGTTTTTATTTAATTCGCACCACATGTGGTGGAACGAAATTTTGTGCACAGGGTCCCCGTTACATCCAACAAAAATACAAATTGTTAAGAAAAACAGTAGCAAGAGCTAAGATATGAACTAAGAAATATGTTAAACTAAGAATATACTAAGCACTAATAGTACAAAACAATGCGCCAAACAACAGCAGCACGAACATGAGTCTGTGTGAGCAGATGAGGACGAATGAACACAGCAGCATGAAATAAATCATCAGCATGAGATCATCATCAGGGATAATATCCACTAATCAGAAAATGACCACATAGAGATCAAAGGCGGCAACTCCTCCTTCAGGTTTAATCTCCTGATCACATTTTTATTTTTTTTTTTGCTGCATGTTTACAGGTTTTATGAGCGTTAAAGACAGAAAAATCAGTTTTATTCAAACTGATCTGTTTCTGAGAAGAGAAAGTGCACGTTTAAAGGGTTCAGCTCCCTGTACTTCCTTTCTGATGACGTTTATTTATCTTATCTTGTGAAACCGGTCTCGTAGTTTGAACGCCTTGACTGCCCTCTGAGATTCTCTTTTAAGTCTGTCTGCGACAGTTCCCCTGTGTGCACTTTGTCCACGGTTTGACTGATACTGTTATCGTCTTCTCTTCTTCACTGAGTGCACACAGAGGACAATAAAAAAAAAAGGAACGTGCACACCATGCAGGGTGTTTTTGTAAAACTGTTCGACAGACGAAAAAACGTGTAATTTTTTTGCGTTCACTTGTCAGTTTACAACAGAAAACAAATCAAGCAGCAAAAACAAATGAAAGGTGAAAAAGGCACTAAGCTTGAAAAGTCAACCGACTGACACGATCACAATAGGAAGCAACAAACTTCTCCTTTTTGTTTAAAAAAAAGAAATTCTCATGAGAAATTAGACCCACATGTAATAAATAGATACATTTGTTTAAAATTCTCAAGTCACAGATTGCTAGACACCTGTCAGCAGCGATGTCCTCTGAGAGGAAGTCTGCGTGACTCTTTGAAGACAGGCAGCATGAAGGGAAAGTGCAGTCATTCAGACACGAGGAGCATCCTCTATTACCAAAATGTAACTTCTCAGAATTCTAAGTGGTCGCTGAAAAGTCAGGCACAGAAAGTTCAAATGTTCATGCGTGCCCACTCCATTTTCTGTTGGCGCTTTATGAATCAGAGGGTTTCAGAGCTGAGAGAACCAGGTTAGATGCCAGGCTGGGGACACTGGGGTCAGGACTTTCCCATCTGGTCTCTGAAGAAGTCACTGGTGAGGTTTGACTCGTACTCTGACCTACTGACTCTTGGTTCAACTTCTCTTTAATGTTGTAACTGATGATTTTCTCAGTGTCTGTTGTCTGTTCCCAGAATCATTCAGTTGATCTTTTCACTCATTTGCATTTGTCTTAAACAATCAAATAAACGAAACTCCTCCAGTTTGGGGCTGTTAGCTCAAACAAGCACACATCAGATATTCAGTAAGACTATAGGTTCAAGGTTCTTTATTGTCATTCACATCACATGTGGTACATGAGGTGGAACAAAATTGTGTACTCAAAGTCCCAGTTACACCCCAACAGAGCAAAAATATAAAGTATTCAAAAAAGAAAGTATACAAGGATCTAAGATATATGCTAAACAACAATAATGTAATGTACGATCTATTAAACAGCAGCCTGAACATGAGTCTTTTGAGTCACATATCACCGATGCCACTTTAGTTTGTGATATGTGACATGTGTGCTGCTGATTATCTATGCTGCTGATCTCATGCTGCTGATAATCTAATGCTGCTGTATTCTTTTGTCTCTTTTTTTTTATTTACCCTTTATTTATACAGGTAGTCTCATTGAGTCACGAGAACTCATTTTCAAAAGAGACCTGTTTTTGGGAGCAGATGGTGGGGGTCAAGGGCCCAGAATGGGGCCAATGAGGGTGGAGACAGGTGAAGGTGTTTCACCTTTTCCACCCACATTTTGATATTGACGGTACCGGGAGTTGAACCTGCGATTTTCCAATCACAGGCCCATCTTCTCTAACCTCTGAGCCACCACTCCCCTGTATATGTTCATCAAAGACTCATGTTCGGACCGCTGTTGTTCCGTCGTGTTGTTTTACGTTATTAGTGTTTAATTATATCTTGGATCTTTTAGCATAACGTTTGGTGTTTGTTTAGCGTATATCTTAGTTTATATCTTAGATCATTACTGTTTCTTTTTATACTTTATATTTTTGCTATTTTGGGGGTGTAACTAGGATCCTATTTCGTTCCATCTCATGTACTACATGTGGTGGAAACAACAATAAAGCTGACTTGAACTTGAACATGTGAGCAGTTGGGTGTGATCATAGCAGCTTAAGGAAATACAAGCAATAGAAGCTACGCTTATATGCACTCACATAAATGTTTTTCAAATAGTAAATACATTTTTCAAGGATTACAGTGCAGATTTATTAGTGAAAAGCTTGAACATTGTTTAGCTGGCACAATCATAGGCAGGTTTCCGTTTGATGTGACAGCTGTGGACAACCTTCACCTCCGCAGACAGACGCCGGGAGCATCGCCCACTGAAGTTTACCGACTCGCTGAAAGGACAGTTAGTCATACTCGTCTTTGTTTACCAAGTAGCTTGTTCCATAAAAATAGATTACACCAAAAGATTACACAAGTTTTGCTTGAGTTTACATGTGTGGTTTATTTCAGCTGTGAAGTGCATTTCTCACACGTTTCTCAGCTCTCATATCTCTAAATTCAAAGACTGACTGCTACAGTGATGGCAGAGTTTTTTCCACTGAGGTTATCTGAAGAAAATAGTCTTGTATGAGTATGAGGATCATTTATTCAGAACCACTTTAGCTTAGATGTATTCTGATTTGCCTTAGCCTCATGGCAGGAACTGTTTATCTACTACAGGTTTTTATTCAGAACTGAACACGGTTGAGCCTTCTGCTGTGTGATGCTTTTGCAAAACACAAATAAATAAGTCACACAACGTGTTTGTCCTGTATTATTCTCAACTTCCTGGACGTAAGGCTGGGAGAAAATATAAAACTTACGTTTTCTAAACTATAAAACCAGCAGAACAGAACCAGCAGTATTTTATTCTAAGTGTTTAGCGTATATCTCGGTCTTTTAGCATATTGTTTAGCGTTCGTTTAGCGTATATCTTAGTGTATAGCTTAGATCCTTATATATTGTTTCTTTTTATACTTTTATTTTTTATTTTTGGGTGTAACTGCTACCGTGAGTACATAATTTCTTTCCACCTCATGCACATGTGATGCAAATGACATTAAAGATACTTGAACTTGAACTAGGAAAAAAGCTGTAATTATCTCCACTGCAGCTAAAATCTGCAAAATAGGAGCTGAAAGCTAAATGTAGCTAAACCGTAGCTAAAAGCTGAATTTACCTTACTGTAGCTAAAAATGAAAATTAGCAAGACAAAAGCTAAAAAGCAACAAATAGCAAGTTTGCTGAAGTAGATTTCAAAGCTATGCTTTTAAAAGAGCATAAGAGATCTTAACGTGTTTCTATGAAGACATTTTAAGAAAATAAAGTCGCAAAATTATAAAGCTGCAAATAATAAAGTCATAACACTCTAACCCTGATTGAGGCAAACCATTTGATATATGTTTAAATGGAAGTAGTTTGATACTGAAGAAACTGAAAACATATTATTGCATTAATGTATATTTAATACAATTTATGTAATGTTTTGTTTCCTACGTGGTTTAAAAAATGTATTTGAAGTGACAAACAGACGACTGCCAATCTGCCACACACATTCTGAAAGGTGAGACCTCGCCACTTCTGTTTAATCAAAGTTTCCTTGTGTCTGAGCTGTGAGTGTTCGTCGCAGGTTTGTTGGTGAGAATAAAAACTTGCTTTGTTCTCACAGCTTTATTGCAGCGCTCTCCTCTGTGGTCGTCACTTACTCATATTTGGATTCTTAAAATCACTCAGTCATTTGTACCACTGGGATGGACGAAGCTACCAAAATCGCGCGCCGTCTGACTGTGCCAGTTCTCACTGGGGCCCAGTGCCGACTGGGCAGGAAGAAAACTTGTTGCAGGAGGGGAAAATAAAGAAAGCACCAATCCGTCTTGTTAAAGTGAGTGTAAGGATATCCTGACGCATGCTCAATAATCCAGGTAGAAAAATCTAAAAAAGTTAGATCTGGTCCTCTGGACATTCAAGTTGTCAGCAGCAAAACTGGTTGATCCACTCTGAGAAGGTGCTATTTAAGAGACTGAGCTGAAAACAGCACCTCAGACTGAGGAAGTCTCTCGGACGAGAGACGAAACGTTTCTACATTTTTTGTTGTTTTGCGTTGTTTTGGGTTTTTTTTGAATGTCCAGAGGACCAGATTTAACTTTTTTAGATGAGTGTAAGGATGTTGTGCAACAGTTGAAATGGAGCATGAAATTATGGTGTAAAGCAAAATTTGCTTTCAGAAATATAAATTTTAATTTAATATCAGTCCATAAATAGAAAACTTAACTTTTTCACATCACAATAAGACAAATTTAGGTATCAATATTCATTACTGCTTTATTAATATGTTTTATAATTTTGTAAATATAACACTTTAGTCATTTATAAAAATAATTCATCATTTAAAACCTAGAATTCTTCACAGGAATGCCTATCACCCGCCGCCAATCACGCCAGAGTTTTAGACTAGAATAATTTACGTTGAGAAATAACGTTGTTGCTCTTTTGGTTGTATTGAAAATAACATTCTGCGCAACCTCAGTGTTTCTGAAAGTTTCATTTGATTCATCTTGTGGTTCTTTAGATATTTTACCAACAGACAGACACAAATAATCACACGGGCAGCAACACGATTATAAAACGCTGTTCATACATTCAAGGAGGCTCCTTGTTTGGCAAAAATAGTGCTTTCATTAAATTTGTTTCCTAATAATTTGGATTTTTAAACTTTAAACATGTCTAAAAGTCACCTGTATGTAAACACTATTAGTAGAAACAAAGGTTGTTTTGACGTATGAACTAATTTAATTTAAAAAGTAAGTTGAAATGCTAACACAAAATACATTTACCTTAAAAAAAATAAAAGCATAATACTTGATTTTGCCAATAGTGCGCTTGCTTCCATATATAAATAGTGTTTTATAACAACATTTTAAATGGTTAATAATGCTTTATGAAGTGTTAACAAGCCCATGAATAATCTTTTAATAAAACAATGTTAAATCCATTTATAAAGATAATTTTATTGCGAAGTGTTACCATCTAAGAAGAAGGTTTCATGTGATAACATTTTGGCCTTCAACAAGCATCAATCCTTATAATAGTTCTCACACAAAGTTAGACACTTTCTCGGGTTCTAGTCAGGCGTCTGTTTATTTAGTTAAACTAAACATGAGCGACTTATCATTTTTACATTTAGGTTGAATCATAGTCATTAACTAAACCAGAATGAAGAGAAAATAAAGTAAACCAGGAATGTTTGGATAGTAAAATAATAATAATTTGTATTTTGTAAATGTCTTGATTCATGCTCAATAATCCAGGTAGAAAAATCTAACAAAGTCAGATCCTCTGGACAGTTAGCAATAACAGCAATGCTGTTATTGCTAGTATCACTCAGCCCTCTGTGAATAGCAAGCGGCCATCAGGACACTAATGATCAGTCGTTAGGCTGATGGTCCTCCTTCATCATGTGAACAGCTAGTTTAGGATGTCAACAACAAATTGGTCGATCCACTATGAGAAGGTGCTGTTTGTAAGACTGGGTTTAATGCAGCTCCTCAAACTGACAAAGTATTTTGGATAAAAGATGAAACATTTCAACAATTTATATATGTATATATATATATATATATCCTTCCAGAGGACCTGACTTACTTTGTTGCATTTTGTAAAATTATGTTGTTTTCTTATTTTTCTGTTTGTACTGTTTTTTTTTGGCTTTTGTTACTGATTTCACCCTCCTATTTTCTAATTATTGAAAAATGATGCAAAACATTAAAACAAGTACTACAGTACTTACAACACCAATACTGCTTGTGCACTGTTCGCCCGTTTGTCACATGCACATTTGCTTTTTGCCAACTGGCACAACAGAGTCATTTTTTTCCACAGTGAAACCACAATGATGCAGAGTGCTCGTACTGTTAACTCTGCAGCCATTAAATGAGACAACTTGCTGTGGTTTCCTTGTTTCTTAATTCAGCTCGAGCCTGCATGAAAACTTCTGTGAAAACTCAGCTCAAACAGAAACCAGGGCACACCAGTGAGCCCGTAGAGGGACAAAAGTCCCTTGCGAACAGGAAAAATATGAACTATGGCAGAATAAAATCACCGATATCCTCATGCTTTTTTCTTTGTTCCTGCTGAAGTGCCCTTGAGCAC